AATCCCCTGAACAGTAACAGCAGAGTCCAGGCGGGGTAACGAATGGTCAGCCAGTGTGAGTGTTGCTCCCTGAGCGAGCACAGCAGGCCTCTGAGCAAGGCTGTCACCACAACACAATCCCCCGACTGGACAAAGGCATCCGCCAGACAACCTGAGCAAGTTAAATTCCCTACTTGATGAGAAAGCAGGTTTCAAGGGAGATGGCATTGTGATTTCTTACCGTAGCATTATCGGATGAAAGATTGAGAATTAGGGCAGATTTCATCTCTTGTCTGACCCTAGGGCCTTGGGCCAGTTACTTGCACTTTCTCAGCCTCAGTTCTTCCACCACAAAATGGAATTAATAATGGAACCTACCTTACAGAGGATGGTGCAGCTTAAACAAAGTAATGAAAGTAACTGGCTTTGTACGATGCTTGAAATACCATCAACACACGGTAAATGCCGATGGCTATGATCATCATTTTCATCATTGTTACAAGCTACTCCATCAGATAACAAGGCTAGTAGCTTCCAAAGTCACCTTTTATTGAATCTCTGTGCTCTAAGTGCCAGCCCTCATGCCAGGAAACTTACACAAGTTCTTTCTATTCTATCTTCACCACACCCTTACCAAGTAGAAAACAGACTCGGGAGGGTAAGTGATTTGTCCAGTGACTTGTCAACGTCCAGTTAGTTGCTATAAACTGGAAATCACTTCTAACAGACAATAGACAATGACGGATAATTAAATGTTTCCATCTAAGCAACATTTTTTCATTTTGAAGTAGCCTTTTTTTTTTCTTTTTCTTTCTTTCTTTCTTTCTTTTTTTTTTTTTGGAAAGGTTTTTGCTATAGGGCACGTGCACTCGCCAGAAAGACAGAGACAGACAGAGAGATAGAAAGCGAGAAATCACCCCCCAGGGGGGATGCCCACGCCGCAATCCCTTCTCCTCCATTCTCCTCTCGGGATCTTGGGCATGCACGCACACGTGCCCGGCGTGAGTTTAAGCCACCAGGTCCGGGACTCGAACCGCAGTTGGCTACATGGGAGTTCAGTGACAGCCCATTACGCTAACTGGTGGTCCCTGAAGTAGCCTTTTCGAGGGGACTTAAAGACAGCCTGACCTGTATCAGTGGAGATTGGAGATGCCTTATAAGGAACCATAGGTTCACAGTTTGTTGGACAAAACAAGCTAGTCCACAAGTGAAGGGCATCCAATCAGATACTGCCAGAGCCACATGGCATGCCCAAATGCAAGGCGGATTAAATACAGCACGAATGGAGTCCACTGCTCTCTACTTCTCTAGGAAACAGGTTCATTTCTGAATCAGCATCTCCCATGCTGAACAGAAGACTCTGACATCTTGCATTTTCTCTATACCCAAGTAAGGGTATGGACCCAAAGGGCTGGCAAACCTTGGAGACACATTCCTCTGTACACTGAAGCTCCTGCCACATCCTCTTCTCCCTCCTGCTATCTGTCAACCCCAGGCTAGGGATGTATGGTAAGCCCCACATAGGTAGATCCTTTTTACAGCCCGCTGAGTGGCTGAGCACCCTGAGGGTCCAAGGCCTGGCTATTCCATGGTCAAATCTGCCTAACGCTGTCTCCAGACGTTACCACTGGGGTAACAAGATGGCGTATCACCACTCTTCACAGAGCAGACCAGAGCCAGAGGTGACAGTGACAAATGGCAGACAGACTCAGCCTGGCAGAGAGGAAGTCCCAGGGGCTCCCGTGACTGGGCCAGGAGGAGGTAGATTAGCACCAGGGCCCAAAAGTAGAGTTCTCTTATGAAACTTAGAGTGGCAGAAGCAGAAACTATTACAAACCAGGAAGAGCCAGCGCCTGCAAGCCTTATTCTCCCCAGAGCCCCACCAGGAGTCCCCAAGACCACCATTCTAAGTGAGTCAAAGATTTAGCTACGAAAAGCTCAGTAGTTGGCCTCAGAATCCCAGAGTTTCTAATCTCTGGAATAAACCATCCAGCAGTGGGTGCAGTTGTGGAAACTGACGTATGGTCAGAGATAGACACTTGCCCTGAAGACATGTAATATAGGCTACTGTCAGATCTGGATTCAAAACATACCACATGGGTGAGGTCAAGCATCTTTCTAGGCCTCAGTGCCCTGCTCTATGAAATGGGAATAATAGTACCTGCCTCACAGGCTGTGGCCAGCCTTAACTGCAGCAACGCAGCTGGCATGCCAGGCAGAGACCAAAGCCACACAGCCTGCTGGTGACAGCACAGACATGCCAACAGAGTTGCCCGTGCCGTGGTCTGGAGCCTTCCCCACCACACCAGGCAGCTTCTGCTTCTGTTATTTGTGAGGGACTGGCCTGTGGATTTCCAGCAAATAATTGGGTTTTACACACCCCTTCTCCCACTGAGACGCAAATACTTTTTCCTTTCTAGGAGATCAGAGGGCAACTTCTTCACATGCATGCGTGAGGGCTGTCCTGTCCAACGGATAACAGTGCTTCCAGAGCCTCCTGGTGCTGGAAGCTGCCTTTTAACTAAGGCTATTACTCCTGCCCCATGGGCAAGTGGAAAAGCTTGTCCCCTCTGGTAGACACCAGGACAGAGCAAATCCTGAGAGCCATGGTGAAGCCTCATGAAAGTCTTTGGCGGGACCAGCAGATGGCAAATGGTTACATCACTGCACTCCCACATAGACAACCACGGTGCAAGTCCCAGACCTGGCGGTTTTAAACTCACGTTGAATACATGTGTGTCCCCAAAATTCAGAGAGCAGAGTGGAGGAGAAGGGACTACAGCATGGCCATCCCTCTGGGGTAGTGATTTCTCACTTTCTGTTTCTCTTTGTGGTGAACACACACACGCCTTATAGCAAAAATTCCTCTTAAGAAAAAAAGTCTTTGGAGGGATCAGGGCCCAAATGTACAAGTCTGTGTTTTTTAAAAGCAGGTGGGAGATGTTTTTACTCTGGCCAAAACTGAAGCGCAGGACTGTGGTAAAGCCCTAGAGGTGGCCATGCTGACATGCGCTCACAGGATGGCTGCCCAAGGACAGATGGCCACTGGATGCAACCAGAGGCATCGCGTCCAGGCACATTCCCAGCACTGCAGGGGCCCTGGGAAAGTGGTGGTGGGGTGTGTGTGGGTCAACTGCAAGGCATTTAGCTGCAATTGCCTGGAAGTTCTCAGGCCAGAGGTTGCAAGTGCAAAGGTGTCAATACACTGCACAACAGCTAGCGTTTACTAAGCACCTACTACTTGCCAGACACTGTGCAGAGGACTTGACACTCCAGAGCTTATCTCATCTACACAATGGTCCATGAGATTATTATTATTAGCCCCATTATGCAGATTAGGAAACTGAGGTCCAGAGAGACTCTTAACTTGCCTAAGACCAGACACACTGCTTCAAAATAGCAGAACTGGGATTCGAACCCAGGTATCTCCCACCAGGGCCCATGTTCCTGACTATGATGTCTACTTCTTCCTGCTGCCATGACATGTTACAGATGTCATCATTATCCTTGTCTTTGTCCACGCTCGCCAAGCCATTCTCTGCCTGCCATGCAGGCCCACCCTCATGAAGCTTTTCTGGTTTCTCTGACAGTAATTTCTCTTGACAAATTAATAAATTGGCCTTCTGGTGTTGACATACATGTATGTCATGGGGGCTATTTTAGTTTGCTCCATTCGGAGCCTGCACACGCCAGGCACTGAGACAAGGCAATCTCTGGGATTTTTCCTTACTGACAGCCCCGTGGGTCTGCCTGAGTCCAGACCCTCCACCGATTCCTCCATCGGGCACACCATACCAACTGTGCACTGCAAACCGAGTTTGCCATTCAGCCCCAGCCTAACCATCTAGTTGGCTGGTGGGTGTTACATGTGCCTTTCTTCAGGCAAAAATGAACAGATTTCATCTCGTCCTCAAAGGGTCCTGGGCTTCCCTAAAAAATGCTTAACAACCCTCAGCTACAAGTAATAAATACAACCCACATTTAGAAAGGGTATCCTGCTGGCTAGTTGAGGGATCTTGGCTACTGAATCACATGTGATGGTTAAGCTTATATGCTCTGAAGGTAGAAAGAACTGAATTCAAATTCTAGTTCGACCACTCCATAGCAGTGTGACTTTGGGCAAACCCTTTGACGTCCCTGAGCCTTAGTTTTCTCATCTGCACAATGGGAACAACCCACCTATAGGACGGATCCGTGCAAGAACTGAGTGAGGCCCTAAATATGGGTGGTCAGTGTGTGCAAGTGCTCGGTAAACACTACTCTCATTTATCAGGAACGCAGCAAACATGGATGGCCTGTGGCTGTACTGAGGGCCAGGGGCACATTCTAGCATACTCCAGCAGCCCTTCCTCCTCCTGAGCAACCGACCAAAAGAAGTTGCTGTCTTGACGGAAGGACTGACTGAGCTTTATTCAGGGGGCTCCCCTCTGACCACATCTGTGCCTGTTCAGCAGCACAGGCCTCTGGGCAGAGAAGATTAAACACCTTCTGAGACCTCAGCTTTGGATCACCAGAAAGTTCCATTTCTGCTCCTAGTAATTACCACGCTGTCTCCGGGAGAAATGGGTGAGAGCAGAATGGAAACCACCCCAGGCCACACTCAGCCCATTTTGAACTCAAATATATCTTTGCGATGTAAAGGTTATGCATGCTGACCTGAGTGGGACACACACACACACACACACACACACACACACAGAGTAATCATAGATGCCTGATGCATGACGCCAAGAAAAACCCACTGAGACGTCTCCACGCTTGCTTTCCTCTGTCATTCCTTCACATCTGAAGGCAAAAGAGAAGAAACCGGGGACCAGTGACAACAGCCAGTCAACCTCCTGAGCGCCAATTACGCCCCCTTCAAAACCATCCGCAGGGGCGTGAGAGGTGCAGGTGGGAGGATGAGTCTTGATCAGTGAACATGTCACAGCCCGGAGACAAAGAAAAGGGAGTCTGCACCTGGCGCTGAGGACAGCAGGTGCTGGGAGGCAGCGGTGGCGTGGACCCCAGCCAGGACTTACTTGCAGAGAAGCCGGCCTCCGTGTGGACAGGAGGGGTGGAGGGCAGGAAGGGGCCATGTCCCACGAAGAAGGAGCGGAGGGAGCGCTCGGACAGGAGCGGGGAGCGCTGCTGAGAAGGAATGTTCTCACAGCTGCCCACACTGCTGTGGATCTTGAGGTTCAGGGGTTTGCTCTTCTTCTTGGCTCTGGAAGGGAGACAGGAAAAGAGAAGGAAATGTACCATGCACGCATAAACTGAGAGCAGGGAGACCCCAGCTCCTGTCTCCTGCGAGGGAACCAGAACCCGAGCAAAGAAAAGAACCCACCAGTTCTTGTGCCCGATAGGCAGAGGAGAAGGGCTGGGCAAAAGCGAGTCTCGCCCTTTCCCCTACTCCCTTTGAAAGGCACATTCCACCACAGGGCACGGTAAATAGACACACGCTGGGCATTTCTTACTCCAGAGCCATCCTGTCTAATGATGAAGTGACCCACTCCGTGGGCACTCCAACTGTGGCTAGGCCTGACTGAGATGGGCTTATTATTAAAAAAAAAATTATGGGGACCAGAAGATGGCGTAATTATGGACTCCCACATGGCCAACCACGGTTCAAGTCCCGGACCTGGTGGCTTGAAACTCATGTTGGGCACGTGTGTGTTAATGCCTAAAATCCGAAGAGGAGACTAGAGGAAAAGGGATTGCAGTACGGCCATCCCCCCTGGGGGTGATTTCTCATTTTCTCTCTCTGTCTCTCTGGTGAGCACATGTATCCTACAGAAAAAATCTCTCTAAAAAAAAAAAAAACTATGTAAAATACCTTATTAGTAATCTTTTATATGCATTCGATATGGGGTTTTAAATATATTGTTAAGGTGTGAGGGCTATTATTTTCTTTCTATTTAAAAATAAGAAGACAAGGCAATTAGCAATTATCCACAGTCAAATACTGGAATAAAAATGCCAGGGTTCTCATGATTTTTTAAAAAGTAAGATCTTTCTCTAGTCATCTTCCTTGCAAACAGGCAATTATTGGGTTGTTGGGGAAATCATGACACTTTTTTGTATGGAAAAACAGAAAAATATGTCATGACTTTCCAGATGACCTGATAGAAGGGGAAGGAAGGGATGCCATCTGCAGAAGGATCCCTCACACTGAGGAAGGGGTAAGGAGGAAACATTAAACCCTAAAGGATCCCAGAAAGGTGGTGATGAGGTCGTGATCTGGAAGAAAGAGGACGCATCTTTGAAATGACAAGCATAAATCACCGACATTTTTTAAAAACTTCCACTTGACCAAAAGGGAAGCTTGAGAACAACTCATAGACCATCACCCACAGCAGTCACTGTGGCTGCTTGGATGTGAGGGCTAACCTTGTCCAGGGATCGGATCAGGCGTTGGGCGTGTGTGAGCTTACCTGTGTCGCAGTAACCTCAGGAGGGAGATGCTATCATTAACCTCCCTCCGCTCATGAGGATGCCGAAGCAATGAGAAAAGGGACCCGATGCAGTGGGCGTCAGTGCTGAAACCAGCCAATGTGGCTTGACAGCACCTACACCAAACTCCCAAGTCAGTCCTGACCCCAGAGATGGCCATTCTCCCTGAGGCCAACTGCCCTGAAGAGCTTGCTTTTCAACCCGTTCAGGCTAGAGGGACCCGAGTGGCCAATAACTGAGCCTTCAATTTTAGCCATCTTTTCTCATGGGGCACTTTCACCAGAGTTGCCCACAAGCCCCCATGAGTATTACCATGTGCTCTCTCCTCTCTCTCTCTCTCTCTGGCTCTAGGTGACTAAAGAGAAAACTGGTAATGGAGGAAGGAGGGGGGCAGGAAATCCAGAGTCCTCACTTACTGACCCAAGAGGAACAGCAAAACTACCCCTTACACGATGTTGCTATTCTCCTCTGCCTGGTGAACTCCTATACATACCCCAATGTCCAGTTCAAATGTTACCACATCTGTGATGTCCCCTCCTACCCCATGGAGTCAATTTACTATTCTTCTCACCTCACTCTCTTAGTACCTCTACCCCGTCATATGCTAGATATGAAGTAGTGTCCTTGAAGTGGCACGCGATGTCACCCCACGGTACACACTCGCTCCTGGACCAAGCCTTGTGGGCTCTCACTTTTGTTTATGCTGCCTCCCCCAACTGGAATGCCTGCTCCTTCTTTGCCTGGTTAATTCCTATTGTGTTTGTTTGTTTGTTTGTTTGTTTGTTTGTTTTTAATTCCTCAGTACTGGTGTCCTCTCCTCAAGAAAGTTTTCTTCCCTTATAGTCCCTCTTTCCACCTAGCCTAGGTTGGGTGTTTCATCTCCCTTCTCCATATACATGAGGGGACTTCATAAAGTTAGTAGGAAATGGAATTAAAGTATGAGTTTACTTTGCTGTAAAAATTTTTTTGAAATCATGTGTTTGTTTTATTTTGTTTTTATAATACACATTTTCTAAGACCTTTTTGAAAACCCCTCTCCTATGATTGCCATGTCCTATCTGTCCAAATTTGTTTTTTCCTAATTTGTTGTCTCCGAGTAGACCATGTCGCCGTTGAGGGCAAGGACTCCTTATGGTTCTTTTTTTAGTCCTTGGCCACTAGCATGAAGCCTGGCAAATAGTAGGGGCTCGTTAAATGTTTGTCGAATGGCCATTCTGGGTTAAGACTCTGCACATATCATGCTGCAGTCTAGTCCTTTATCTTCCACATTCAAATGAAGGCTCCTTGAGGGCAGGAACCAGGTGGTTTTCACTGTTGGATCCCTCAGCCCCTAACTTGGCACCACCTGAATAAAATGCGTGTCAAACCTGGTTTGGAAGCACTTCTTCCCTTCCAGAGGAGCTAGTTTAAGAGCACTTGGCTTAAAACAGCATCCAAAACTCCATGCTCCTCCCACCCTCTTTCCCCAAACTCCCATCCAGTCTGGCCAGGAGTTGGGTGCCCTCTTCCAGCCGAAGTGAAGCCTTCCTGCAAACCGTGTAAAGCCCAGGCTTAGGACTGGGGCCACCACACAAGCAGACTAAAGGTCATGCTCTCTAGGAGGCCTGCTGAGCCTTACCTTTAAGGAATCCACAGTCCCTGAAGAGTTGCCCCCTTGCCATGCCCGAGCTGCCAGTCTACGTATTATCTCCCCAGAGGGAAAGGAGCTTCCTGTTACAGCAGCGAACATCGTCTTGCCTACTTTGCACAGAATATCTAAACTAAAGAGATCTCAGAACTCACATCTTCTTTGAATCAGTTCATCATTCTTCATCTTCAACATTCTGGTCCAAGCCACCTTCCCCTCTCACTTGGGCTGCTGCTGCCAACTCCCTGGAATCCCAGCCCTACTTTTCCTCTTACATTAAGATAAAATTCACTCCATGGACCCAGCAGGTGGCATAGTGGTTAAAGGCGCTGCATTCCCACATGGCCGACCACGGTTCGAGTTCCAGACCTGGCGGCTTGCTTACTCACTTTCGCTTTCTCTCTCTCTCTCTCTGTCTGGTCAAATTAAATAATAATAATAATAACAATAAAAACAATGACAATAACAAATTGAATTAAATAATTCTTTTCTTTAAAAAAAGGTGAAATTTATTTCATATAAAATTACTCAGTTTAGAGACCAGCAGTTAGCATAATGACCATGTTGCTAGACTCCCATGTAGTCGACCATGGTTCAAGTCCCAGACTTAGTGGCTTAAACTCATGCTGGATGCAGGTGCGTACATGCCCAGGATCCCAAGAGGTGAATGGAGGAGAAAGAATTGTGGTGTGGCCATCCCCCTGTGGGGTGATTTCTCGCTTTCTGCCTCTCTGTCTCTTTCTGTCTTTCTGGCAAGTGCACGCGCCCTATAGAAAAAAAAAATTCAGTTTAAAGTGACCAGTCCAGGGCATTAAGTCCATTCACAAGGTTGTGCAAAAGCTGTCTCTATCTAGTCCCAAACAAGCTCATCATGTTCATCACTCCTGAAGGAAACCCTGCCTCCTACACTGTCACCCCCATGTCCCCTTCCCTCCAGCTCCTGGCAACCACCAATCTGCTTTCCGTTTCTGTGGATTTGTTTATTCTGTCTATTTTCTGTAAATGGAATCATACAAAATGTGGCCTTTTGCATCTGGCTTCTTTCACTCAGCATAATGTTTCGGAGGTGCATCCATGCTATAGCAGGTATCAGAACTCTGTTCCTTTTGTGGCTGGACAGTGGGATCCCACTTTGGGTTCCTTACGATGTATTCTCCAACCCACAGTCAGAGTGTGGTTGCTATTGTTGGTTTTTAAAAATAATTATTTATTATCACTATTATTTTTTAGTTTGCTACAGGGCTCATGTACTCATCAGAGAAAGACAGAGAGGAAAAGTGAGAAAGCAAGCCACCAGGTTCAGGACTTGAACTGTGGCCGACCATGTGGGAGTCCAGCACTTTAATCACCATACCACCTGCTGGACCTGAGAGTGAATTTTTTAAAGATATACACGGGGGTCAGGTTAAGGGAGTTAGATCCCACGTGGCAGACTGTAGTTCAAATCCCAGCCCAGTGGCTTGAAAAACACATCAGATACATGGGAATGTGTGCCCCCAAATCCCAACTGGATGGAGAAATAGAGGATTGGAGCATGATCATGCCCCACTGGGAGGTGTTTTCTCCTTCTCTCTCTGGAGATCACATGCCCTTTGGCAACTGAAAAAGAATACACTGTATCATGTCACTTCCCTGCTTAAAATTCTCAAAAGCTGTCCTGTTGTTCTTGCTAAGGCTGTGAGACTAGCAGTGCCACGCCTTCCCTTGACTTCTGGTACCAGCCCCTTGCTGTTCTCTGATTAGCCACTCTGGCTGTATTTCTGGTGATCATGCCTAGTGCGCATGCACCTCTGGGCCTTTGCACATGCTGTCCCCACTGTCTAGAATGTTACCCTGCCTGTTCCTAGAGACCTACGCATCCTTTAGGCACTGCTCAGAGAGAGTCAGTCCGTACCTTCTCTTCCAGCACTGCCAGTGTGTTCTTCATTAAGTGCATCTCGGTCAGAATTCTGCACTCACCTATGACCTGATGGATGTCTGTTTCCCCACAGCCTGTGCCTGGAACATGGGAAGGGTTTGTATCTTCAGCTCCTAACACAATGCAGGCCCTTCACGGTGCAGAGCCAAGAGCATAAGCCAGGTTTGCAGACTCCCCCAAAAGCCCACAGGTCCCAACTCAAGCAGGGACGAGGGGGCATCTCCCTTGT